AGACAGTTTAATCCGACTTCGTTTGACAAAAAGATAAAAGAATAGGTGACACCGAATGTTTGATTCTAGAACTTATATTCCTGACCCCACTCAGATGGTAATTTTATTTTTAAAGCCTCAGTCTGATATAGTATAAGCTACCTAGTGTTAAACGATGTACAAAAGCTTGAGCTGATTCAATAAGATGATTCGGATTTTCCTGCCGCAATAAAATATAAAACAGATCATTTCGCAAATGAACCATGTTAGACATTTTGAGGGAGCACCGGGTCACATTAGAATTTGAAAGACCACGGCAGCTGTTCGTTGAGGGTAATTGGTCTATCTCTCAGCGTTCAACTTCTAATACCACTCGAAACGTGCTCTATTTTAAATTTCTATATTCATCCCCACATCACTATTTCTTTTTCATTTAATCACACGTAACAAATAATTTTTTCAATGGATTGTCTGAAATTAATGAACAGATGATCTTCCAATTTTTATGGTTTCAAATGTTCGTCGTTTGGGATAAAGCAACCACAACTGCAGACAATATTAACTGCATTTGGATTTAGTGTACAGCTGTCTATTTCCTACAAAAACCATGGCTGGATTGCAACAATTATTTATCTTAAATTTTCTGTACATGGTCGTTATTCCCCAAGATTTCGCATGAACTTATCTGCAAAAATTAGTTATTAGTGTTCCACATTTTAATTCCTCATACTCTATAATCTTCCTTAATTTCTTGTTGACCATGAGTCGTCTGATCACTTGAGTTGACGGATTATAACTTCATGGCTAGAAAAGTATATCTGTGCAAAGCACATCGTCACTGACACAATGGCCGATAACGAAGGTGTCATAATTAAATGATCCGCATGTCGGAACGGGATGAAACTTCTTCTTCCGTAACGTATGCGTAAAACAGTCCTACGAAAAAGTTGTTTAAAACACTATTTTGCACACCAGCACACAGTTTGAAAATATGGAAATGCGGAGAAACCCATCGAGGGAATACTCCGCATTGAAGCAGAGCCCCTGGAGACGGTTCCATGGCCAACTCTGCCTCTATTATTGTTCCCAGCTTCTTAATTCACTCTGAAACCTTCCATGTGTCGGTCACTGAAAAACCATTTTGGGATCCGTTGTACAAAGCATGCACAATTAATTATATTATGCTATGTCGTTGTATAGACTGATCTGCAAGTTATTGGTATTATGCCTAGCTTTCTCAAGGAATAAACAATTTTTATTGATTTATTTAATTTGTAGCACTTTCAACTATGCACGGGTATGGGGATGTGCGTGAAGTGTGTGCGACTGAATGAGAAAGGCGTGTGGAGTCTAGAAAAATCTGTGGAAGTTTCACAGATTATGGTTCCTTCCTTGGTTTGGCGAAGAACATTTTGCACATACAGCGAAGTGGATTACAATGTGCGTTGGAGCTGATGACATGGTGGCAAGGTCGATGTTAGGCACAGACTAAAGGGTAAGTTGACACATGAGAGAGGCTGGGCGACGGGGTTGTCAACGCTTGAGACGTGAAGTATGCCAGCAGTGAAATGTGGAACTGAGGGCGGAGTCTGGTTTCTGGGATGATAAATTTTTCAGAGGCTGAGTTGAAGGTGAATACGAGGGGCTTGTTTTCAGTGTAGACCATAAAAGTACGACCTTCGATTGTGTGCCTGAAGTGGTCTATGATAGCAATGACACGTAAAATGTGCTTCATGTACGGGGCAGTAGGGAAGTTGCAGTCAACTGGACCCAAGGTAAATGGTACTGGATACGATAATCATCATCATTAAACACGTTAGCTAGAGGTGGGAGAAAACCTCAGCTATTGTGTCGCAATACATGAATGGAATACATGTATATATAAATATAATACAATACACAAAGGAAAACTAGATACAACAGTTGCATGCCAGCTGAGCTACCAGCAACGGATAGGCGTCGTTCCGGTAAGCAACCAACAAGCTACTAGGCAAAAAGAAAAAATTATTATGTATTACCCAACGAAATGAGATCGCAGATGGAGGGGGAGGCTAAAAGGGATGGGGAGGAACAAAGAAACTCACAGCATGAACGCCACTGCGGTCGACTCCTTATCATGTCAGCAAGTGTATCCAACCAAACGTGTTCACGGTCTTTTGGACCCCAATCAGGGAGCCGTGACACTCCAACCGAGGCTAGCTCCGAAGTGAGGGACCATTTCCCTGGACCGAGTCATCGCTTGGCCACCTCTCCTCTTCTTCCACCCACATCCCCGGTGAGCAAACAACGCACGCCGAGGGAGTCGGTGGGCTGGCATGCGTAACACTTGGCAGAGCCATCCGAGCCTGGTGCGGAAAATAACGGTGCTGAGCGGTTCAGATCCTTTTCCTGGGCCGTAAACAATGCGTCGAAACGCTCGTTACTCACGCGGTGTTCCCACCAGATGTGAGCAAAACTGCGAAGACACCGATTGTCGAACGTAACTAGCCTCTTCGTATCCGCCGATCTTAGGGGCCAGGTTTCGCAACCGTACAGTAGGGTCGAACGTACCGCTGCATTGTAAACTCTACCTATCAGGGAGATAGTGATGTCGCGCCGCCGCCATAGATTGCGAAGGTTAGCAAAAGCACTTCGAGCTTTCGCGATACGGTTCATGATCTCGTCTTCGATCCCAAGAGTGCTGATACAACTTCCCAGGTAATTGAATTTCTGAACGAATTCTACCTGATCCCCACCAAGGGTCAGCGCAGGAGGCGATCCCTGCCAATCTTGGGGGAACGCTTTGCACTTCTATGGTGCAAAGCAAAACCCGAAGCGGCGGACAGCCAGTGCTTATCTGTCCAGTGCGGTTTGGCACGTCTGGAAGCTGTCAAAGATGAGGGTAATGCCGTCTGCATACTCCAAGTGAACAATTCGTTCTCCTGGGAATAGCTCCACATCTTCCAAGTCATGTCCTGTAAATGCAATCTCCATGACTTCGTCAATAGCGAAATTGAAGAAGAAAGGTGACAGCTGGCATCGCTGTCTCACACCGCTGGAGATATTGAAGGGTGGCGACAGGTTGCCGTAAGCCCTCACTCTGCCCGTGCTACGCGCATATAATGCTTGGATGATATTTACATATTTCTCGGGCACACCTTTCCTGAGTAAACAATTCCAAAGGGCACATCAATCAACCGAATCGAAGGCACCTTTGATGTCTAGTAACACGACTAGGGTGGGCCTCCAATATGTGTGACGGTGCTCCAACAACTGACGCACGGTGAAGATGTGGTCGATGCAGCCACAACCACGACGAAACCCGGCCTGCTGCGATTCAACAAAGGCAAAGCAAGGTTTAGCACAGGATTCACGAAAGCGTTTTGTGAAAACGAATGCGCAGTCAGTGAACCAAAGGGATGTTGTGGTGGCTCCAGCAACGGTAACATCCAATGAAGTAAAATACGGAAGTTATGATTTCAGTTAACACCAAATTATTGTTTTTTTGAATAAACTGTTGCACATGAATGCAATGTTGCTTTGTGCCTACCAGAATGTAATGTGCTTTTTAACTGTAAATAAAAGCTATTTTACATACAAATTTTAATAAAAATCGCGAGGCAACCTGGAGTTAATACATAGGGAAAAGGCATTAAAGGTTCAGGAGAAGAACATTCAGTTTAGCGACGGATATTGATTACATTCTCAGGTAAATAAATTGTGTTCATGAAGCATGTTCATGCTTAAAATGGTAAGTAGGTTATCTTAATGTATTCAAGTTAAAAATATGCCACTTTTACAACTTACTTAAAACCGGAAACACGAGATTATAAGCATATTAAAACTTACATTACATATTTAACTTTAGATCATATATTATATGAAGATATCGACGAAGTTAAAATTTCATTCAATTTAGAATTAAGCGTCTGAGAAACTTACATGGATATGTGACGATAAAAAATAACAACAGGTTTTGCAATATAAAGTCAAGTCAATGGAAATAATGGAACTTAATTACTCCCCATTTGACGCTCAAACTTCTTTATTCTCAAAAACCTATTTCATAATTTTTTACCAAATGACTGGTGATTTCTTAAGCACCATTAGATTGACACATTAGTAACCTCAAATTTGACCACATTTCCATGTTTACCACTTTGGTCCAGCACATGAGTATTAAACTTGTTTTTCAATCTTTTACTCAGAATGCATTGCCGTTTTTAGCCAACATTACCCGCAAATCTGCAGAAACATCTCTGTAAAACTCCCCAGATGTGCCAGTTTTTTTCACTAACACCATATGCTCCTATTAATGCCAAAAGCGTTCGTTTGCTATTTGTGCCAAAACTTTCAACTCTCATTAGATCATACACAGATTCGACCAAGCGGCTCCTTATCTATCGACCAAATGTGTGTGCCAACTGCGCGCCCATTCGTATCGAACCAGTGGAAGCCAGTGGATGCACACACGCACAAACGAATGCACACTCACAAACCCGCCTGTTCTAGCCTCAACTTTGACACACAGAACGCCATCTTCCTTCGCGCACTTCGTATACTTCGTCGCTGCTGCTGCCGCGACGGCTGTCACTGGTTCCGCTGCAGTGGATTCGGATGTATCCCAGTTTCCTTGGCACCCTTGACCCGGTGCACATCGAAGACGACTGCCACATGGTCATCTCGTGTACACACCAGATGGCCAAGTGTTTGGTCGTTCAACACGTCTGTCCCGACCGTTCAGCAGCCAGCTGTCTTAGTGCGCATGCGTGTGTCCGTTAGCCACGTGTGTGTGTTCGTACATGGGAGACAACAACCAGTCGGGATTGTTTCGGATTTGGCAATGCCAGCACAATAAATGTTCTTCCAATGAAATAAAGTCGCTATAGGCATACAGCTTACCAGTGTCAGCAGGGTGGTTTGATGTGCAAGTTGAACAAGACCATTTGTTATCCGCATACGTGCGACTGAGCCCCAACGGTCAATAACATGACTGTCACATAGATCATATTCTTGTTACTTCCGTGTCTACCAGTAGAACGATGAATATTATTTTAGCCGGAATTATGGCCTTATCTACCGTTGGTTCCCGGATTACAGTTAATGCTGTGGATGAAATTCAAGTGCAAATGCAAATGCGAGAGGAAATACCACCTTTCACTAGAATTGGATCAGTGGCTCCATCCCTCCCCAGTAATTTGGGAACGAAACTTCATTTTCTCACTGACAGCAGTTTCTTCTCTGTGACACCTAATACTGGAGAGGTCAGAGTTGCCCGATCAGTTGATCGTGAAAGACTGTGCCCGGAATTTAAATTGTGCTGTGGCGTAATAGCCTGTCAGATTGAGGCCAGGCTATTCGTCACCAACAAAGCTACAGGAGACTTCGCCGTCAGTGTTAACCTCAAGGTGGACATACAAGACCAAAACGATAACCGTCCAACTTTCAGTCAACCGAAACAAACTGTAAGCCTTTCAGAAGCATCCCAAGTTGGAACTTATATCAGTCTGATTCCAGCTGCGGATGCCGATATTGAGCCTGCAAACCAGATACAACGTTACACCCTGTTAGAGCCAACAGGGACGTTCGTGTTGGATGTAACAGAGCTACCCGCAGTAAGATTGCAGCTGACAAGGCCACTGGATCGTGAATCGACTTCCAGTTATACAGCAAGCTTAGAAGCATGTGATCCGGGTGCTTGTGCTCGTCAAACTTTGGATATTCAAATACTGGATGAGAATGATAATAAACCAACTTTTACAAGCACTCGCATCACCAAACGCTTAATGGAAAACATTAAAGTAGGCACTGTTATACTTCATCTAAATGCAACAGATCCGGACTCAGGAGACCGCGGACGTGTCTTGTACACATTACATGGCAACGTTGATGCAGATTTACTGGACATGTTTGAATTCGTTCGAGATACCGGTGAGGTGCGGCTGAAAAAACCACTTGCTGCGAACATCCGGGATAACTACCGATTCAAAGTGGTCGCATGCAACGCGATTAATCCATCCTGTTCCGGAGATGAGAATTCCACAGCCGACGTAACGTTGCTCGTAGAAGATATTAATAATTTTGCGCCCTCTATTCATGTTGTCCCGTCTGGAGGTGCTCTAAAAGCTGCCGAAGCGAATCCGGAAGAAACTGACACCCGAGGTGACGCGTCCTTTCGAGAGGGACTCCGTGTGTTAGAGAACAATCCACCAAGCCAGGTTGCAGTGCTCACTGTAAAGGATGATGACCTGGGCGAGAATGCACGAGTTAACTGCAGATTGAATGTTAGCGCCGGAAGTAAACTAGACCCAAACTATTCCGATGATTTCATTTTAACACCTAGTGCACCGGGTATATATTCTCTGCGAGCGGCACGCATGTTTGATCACGAAGTTGAGCCGACTGTGAATACCAGAGTTGTTTGTCATGATTACGGAAAGCCACAACAGCTCACTTCTGTTCGTTTGATTACTGTAAACGTGGTTGATACGAATGAATTTCAGCCAGAGTTTTCCCGACGAGTTTATGTCGGCCGCGTGCCCGAGAACGCGCCAGCCGGTATGGAGATTGTTACGGCCACTGCAACGGACCGAGATAGGGGGGCTCAACTGCAGTATCACTTTGCAACGCCCGCAGATCAACAGGGGCAATGGGAAGCAACGCAGTCAGGACAGAATACGCGAACCATTAGTAAGCAAAACTCGGACGAGTTAGGAGCGAATAAGTACTTCACAATAGATGAAGAGAGTGGAACTATACGTACAAGTCAAGTGAGTTTTGCCAAGTAAAATATACATCGATTTGCGTTACGTTAATAGATAAAACAAGCGTTTTTAGTGATAACCGAAAATAGTTATACTAATATTTTAAATTAAGAGCCCGTAAATTATGGACAAGTGTGTTTTGAATATATTATTGGACAAGGTTGGCCACATGTTCCTATCTCTCGGTTGACGGATATGCCATTTGTTAGACTAGTGTGACATGATTGTAGGCAGAATAGTTCATGATAATCTTCGTACATGTTGATAAGTCTAGCTACCTATATCTATGCATTTGCATATATAGAAAAGATGGCCTATTGTGAGTAGTTAAAGCCTAAATTTTAGAAAAAGCTAAAACGAAATAAATACGAGAAGTTATGTCGTACTAGAGCCATGTGAATATAATTTGCGCCGTAATACAACCTTGAATTACACTCGTGTTACTCAGCCGGCTGATACGGTTCTGTGAGAAATCATATTTTATATAATTAATCAGTTAAATATCCGCCTGCAACGCTGCTATAGATTCTACTTGTCCAAGGCGACCCACCATCCAATCAATGGATATAGTGCAAACACAGGTTAAAGAATGCTGCCCAAAATACCGTTCTGCAACTTTTATCACACATTTGATTTGTGCAGTAGGACGACGTCAGCCTTTGCGTATCATGATTGCTAGGATTTAATTATTGGCAGGCACCGTTAGCCATTCCCGTTTTAATTATTTCGTACATGTCGTGGCTGTACTATTTAACTTCATTCTTAATTAACCCTCCAGACCAGAAACAATTTATTAACTTCATACTCCACCAACATCTAGAGGAGAAATGGGTAAATAACTTGCTTGAAAATTATCATTCCAAAATGGGAAATAAAAGGGAAAATATCGCCAGCATGGATGCATATGTAACACAATCAAGCTTGTAAACTTTGAAACAATATTGTTTTTTGTGTCCTAACACTGTACTATTTTCATTTCTCCGATTTTAGTCAAAAACCTTAGCACATTCTTAGCAGCTAAAAATAAAATAATCCCAGATTTGTATTATTTATTAGACGCAGTTGGGGTTTGGCTCAAGGGGTTAGCTTTTACGTTATATGCATATAAATATCCCAAGAGAAATTAATAAACGAAGCGATATCGGTTGTAGAACTCTTAGTTATGCCAATTGCTGTGTGCTCACTATTTTTAATAAAGAATATTTTACTTTTCAGTGACGTACTCCTAAAAAATACTAAACCACATAAAAAGTACCCATTATTCTAAGGTTAAGTTCAGCCTCCAAGAAAGTGTTGAGTGTATTTCTTGATATATGGCTGGGTGTAAGTTGCATAATAATTCTCTACTATTTCTAATAAGATTAGTAAAATAAATAACTTGTTTATTCTCGACAACGCGAGACGCGCCTTTACAAGCTAAAATATTATGGCTATTAGTGTGCTTCGAATTACAAAAAGTGGTCGCGCAGTGCTTGCTTTTCTCATTACCTGAGACACCAAGAAACGACATTTTTGGAAGGAAATAAGAAGCGCATTTCCTTTCGCGCCCAGATAAGCCCAATTATTTCGCGAGCATCGTGACAGTTCGGGCATCATGCGCAATGATTGATTAGCACCGTCAATCGGCTTCATTAACTAAATGACATCAATTTAGACACTTCTTGTTTTATGCTTTATAAATCAAACTTGTGCAACCGTTCTAATGTAACATCGGTTTGTGGCTTTGGTTCGCTGATGTTTGTTTTATATATATATATATATATATATATATATATATATATATATATATATATATATATATATATGGCGCTTTGTGCACTGTTTTTCATCCTCCATCCGATAAAGTTGGAAACCTTTGCCTAAGACATTTCGTCTATCCATCAAGCTAAATACCTTAGTTCGATATTTTGTCCTGTTAAAATTAGTATGTAAAGTAATAATCGTATAATCGCATATCTGCGTTATATTTTACGGTACTTGACCAACCTGCCAGATACAAACTATTCAATGGACGAATAAGCATGGTTACGCCGTACACTTTGAAATACCGAGGATATCCTTAAGAACATCATAGAAATTTTATGTGATGTATTCTGGTCTAGGCACAGAAATATTAGTATTATACTTGCTCAAACGCATGGTATTATGTGATGTAACAATAAATTATGGATTGCCTATGTAACCGTAGCAATCTTCGGGTTCATTAAGTGTGTTCACTCAGCTATTAGAAGCATGGAACTTGCGAACAGAACTCTTTTCGACAATGTACTTCAGGCGAATACAATTACAGGACAGTTAAACTTACAGGTAAGTGAACACTGGAGATGCGATTGTTTGAACGAATTCAATCAATAGTCCACTCGGTCCAATCAGATATCATGAGTCGCGCAAGGACGCGCGTACACGCACACACGCACGAAACACAGACGCGTTTGCCGCCAGGTTAATATTGATCACTCTCCGTCGCAAAAGTGGAGTATGGACCTATCCGGCACCATTAGAATTCCCTTCATGTCTATCGGCTGTTTATGGATGACATGTTCGTCTAATTTGATTCTCACATCGATCCCGCTCGGTTTATGGACCAGTTTCACCTGCACAGTAATGCACATCTATTAGCAAAATTCACTTCCTAGCTGGAGAATGACGACGAACTTCCGTTTTGAATGTTTTGTTGCGACGTCGAACCGGTGGCTCACTCGAGATAAGAACCTAACTTAAGACAACCTGCGGTGGTCAGTACACGCTCTTTCTTATTTTTGTACCCATTAAGTAAAAGAGAAACCTCTTGTCTTGTCTGTACTATCGGTCCGCAAGAATTTGCAGTCCAGCAATCCTGGAAACAGAATTGGAGTCTATTCATAATAAGCTGCAAAACAACGGGAATCCCGCGACGTTTATCAAAAAGCATTCCACTGTTTTTGATAAAATGAATGCAATACCAACTACAAAAAGGAAGGGTGTTAACCTCTTGGTATCTTTTAAAAAGATATATCGCTTTAGACTTACTGAATAGAAGACAATCACTAGCGGGGAGCAAGACATACCATGCCGCTAAATTTGCTATATTTGCTAAAACCTTAGCGATCATCACCCAACGCCTCAAATATAGAATTCCGGCTCGTTTCTTATCGTTTGTTTTATATCCATGCACCTGCACCTGTGGGGCAAGGTACCTCGGGCACACGACTAGGTGCCTATGTAGGCGGTAGCCAAATACTGCCCTGCCTCTTTGCAACATGGTATGGTTAAGAATGTCCTCAACTCGGTCCTCAAACATCTGAATATTATTGACCATCCGATTCCGACGAATTACGCATATAATGTAGTCTAAAGGGCACCAAGGCGCAACACCAAAGGAATCAGAAAGCGCTTGTTGGCCACTGCTGCGATTATCGCAATCGGAAAATTTAAGCCGGATTTTTGCAACTAGGAATACTGATACAATCGGTACTGTTGCCGTGGCCTTAATGTCGGAACTCGGTAACGACTGCGAGTGACCATTATGGACCTGCTGGCCAACGCGTCCGTGCCTCGTGCGTGTGTCTCTCCGCGCGTGCTCGCGCGGCCCCTGATGTCAGACTGAATCTAGTAGACTATTGATCGAATTCGTTCAAACAACCACATCCACAGATTACGCTTAGTTGTGCTGTTATCTGCCTTGTAATGGTATTTACCTGAAGGAACTTGCGGAAAACAGTGCTCTTTGCAAGTGTTATGCTTCTACTCTTCTGGTTGCTCTGGATACTAAGAAGTTAATTACTAATAAACTTTCCGTTTCATTTAACATCACAACCATTATTATCTCAGCTGGTAAAAGTACCAGAATTCTGAGTGGTATCAAGTGATTTCTAGGTATTGTTACAGACACACATTGTACGATAAGGTATTTGTTGGAAATCAAACATTGCAACAATGCAAAGGGATTCATACTGGTTAAGTAGATGTGTATTTCTGTGTTAGGATTGCGGTGCTAAATGTTGAGGCAAAATTTAATCCCAAATTGCTAATCAGTAACTACGCCAAAAATCGCCTTATAGTTGTGTTACTGTGTGTAAAACCTATTATTGCCCGTTTTGTATTATGCCCAATTACTGGTGAACAAGCCTATTTAGTCATGTTGACCGGTACCTTCATTCATCAACAAACACATTCACTTTAACAAGGTATCCGTCATCAAAAGAGATGATGTCGCGCTTCCAATTGTCTGAGGTCTAACTTTTTAAAGGTTACTTAGCATAAACGCACAATAAAATCGATCATTTTTTAATAACTTTCCACCCGAGAACCTATGAGTCAGAGCAAATAAATTGTGGTAAATTAATAATATATTTCAAATTTAGGGTCCGTTTATTATCCACTGCATCTACGCAAAAAATAAAGTTACCATGTCCATAAACGGTTGTTTTGTCCTAATTAAGCGCAAAGCAAGAACGTCTACTGCTTACCATATTTATTTTCATTTAGTCATTTTCCTGTTTCTCCATATCATAAGTCTCATGTTGTATTTAAGTAAGAGCAATGGTCGGAAGATATTAGAAGTTGGTATGCTAACAGCCAAATTTAGTCTTCTGTATAAATATACGGATACCTTCATCTCTGTTACGTAACTTTAACCATTGAACAATGAAACGGGTCTAAAATGAAACGGTACAATCAGTCGAATTATACTCGTGTAAACGTACTGAGCAACCACATAGTGTAGGCCTCCATTGGTGACCGAACCCTTGCGTTAAAACAAAGATTTCGGTTATATACCTGATAAAACTGAGCCGTCTCAGTTTGGTGGATGACAATGAATCGGTAATTCTGCTCTAATCAAATACTTGTTAAACAACTATAAAAAACAAGTAGCGCTTGATACGGTTTCGGCATGTACTAGCTTTCCGTGGAAAGTTTGTGCACAGGGCTGAAAATGGAATAAACTGGATAAAGGAATTAACACCGAGACACTCTCAGATAAATGCAGGTCAGTCACAGTACATACATAAAAGTATTATTCATAC